TGCTGCAGCGGCGCCCTCATCTGTCCTACAACCATCAGCAGCAGGAGCAGAAGTTGCTGCTGCTGCTGCTGCTGCTGCTGCTGCTGCTGCTGCAGTGTCTGCGAGTTGTGAAGACTGTGCAGGCTCGTCAGTTGCTGCTGTTACTGGTGTCACTTTTGGCCCATTTGAGTGCTGCTGCTGCTGCTGCTGCTGCTGCTGCTGCTGCTGCTGCTGCTGCTGCTGCAGTTCCTCCTCTTCCTCCTCCTCTTCTTCCTGCTGCTGCTGCTGCTGCTGCTGCTGCTGCATGCGTTTCTGTAGTAGCTTCTCCAGCAGCAGCTGCCGATGCTTCGACTGCTGCTTCTGCTGCTTCCCATTCTTCCCTGCTGCTGCTTGTTCATGGATCTCTTGCCTCCCGCTGCTGCTGCCGCTGCTGCTGCCGCCGCTGCTGCTGCTGCTGCTGCTGCTGCTGCTGCTGCTGCTGCTGCTGCTGGGGCCCACCCCGCGCAGCACTTGGGGGCCCCCCTGAAGCTGCTTCGGACTTTTTAAATTAAATTCATTTCTTAATTTTGTTTTTCCTCTTCTTTTCCTTTCCTTCACTTCCCCCTCACCCGCTCTACTCCGTACCCTTTTACGGGAGGCCCCGGGGGTGACCCCCCAAGACCCTGGGGCCCCCGGGGCCCCAGGGGGCCCCTGGGAGTGCTGTAAAGGAGAAGGGGGAGGTGAGTGTTGTGGGGAGTTGTTGGACTTGGAGGTAAATGGTGGAGTTTGGCAAAAAAGTTTATTTTTTCTTTTTTTGTTTATTTTTATTTGACTTTTTGGACTTCTTTCCTCACCACTGGGGGGCCCCTCAAGGGCCAAAGGGGCCTCCAAAGGGGGGCTGCTCCACCGCAAAGAAGACAGCGACAAAATGCCTTCAGGGGGCCCCCAGGGGGCCCCCCGGGGGCCCCCTGAAGGCCCCCCGGGGGGCCCCCCGGGGGGCCCCCCGGGGGCCTTCCCCAGGGGGCCCCCCTCGGGGTCCGAGCCCGGGGGGCCCCCCGGGGGGCCCCCCGGGGGGCCCCCCTCTCCAGGGGCAGTTGCGCTGCGGGTGCGGCGGCGGCCAAAGGGGCCCCCCTGGTGCTTGGGGGCCCCCAAGGGGGGCCCCCTTGAGGGGGGGCCCCCCTTGCGGGGTTTGGGTCTTCGCCGGGCCTTGGGGGGCCCCCCGGGCTGCTCCTCAGCAGCAAAAGATGAGGGCTGGGGGGCCCCCGGGGGCCCCCGGGGGGCCCCCGGGGGCCCCCGGGGGGCCCCCGGGGGGCCCCCGGGGGCCCCCTCTTGGGGGTCTAGTTCTTCTGGCGAGGCTGCTGCAGTTGGAGACCCAGGGGCAGCCTCAGGGGGAGCAGCAGCAGCTGGAGATGCCATTAGAGCTTCAAACCCTAAACCCTAAACCCTAAACCCTAGAAACTAAACCCTAAACCCTCGGTGTAAGGCGAGCAGCATGAGGCAGCAGCGGATACGCCGTGCCGGTGCTGCTGCTGCTGCTGTTGCTGCTGCGGCTGCTGCTGCAGCGGCTGCTGCTGCCTGTGGCTCCTGCGCTGCTGCGCTGCTGCTGCTCAGCAGCCTGCTGCTGTTGCTGCTGCTGATAGTGCTGCTGCTGCTGCTGCTGCTGCTGCTGCGAAGGCGGGAGCGCAGCGCTTGTGCTGCTGTCGAATAGGCAGGCGAGACGGCAGCAGCAAGACACAGAAAGTGGGGTTTATCGGGGTTTCTTCTGACGCTAAATAAGCTTTAAAACGAGTTTGTAGGCTGGGGTTTAGGGTTTAGGGTTTAGGGTTTAGGGTTTAGGGTTTAGAGCTCGGGCGCCTCGCCAGCCCGTCGCGCCCACAGTCGGCGGCGGGAGCAGCGAGCAGGCCGCAGGGGTGTGCGGTGTCTGTACAGCTCGACTGCGTTTGCAAATGCATTTATTTCTTTTGTTTTATTCATTTAATTTATTTTAAATGAAAATAAAAAGAAAAAAAGAGTTTAATAGCCGCCAGAAAGGGCTTGGGGAAGGAAGGCTGCACGGCAGGCCGAGCACTGCAGCTGGAGCGGCACGAGCGTGGTCTAAACCCTAAACCCTAGACCGAACCCTAAACCCTAAACCCTAAACCCTAAACCCTGGAGCCCCCAGCCTCTTTCCTGGCTTCTTCCGCAGCTAAATATGTCAAGTTAAGTCCAATATCCCCTGGGCAAGCGGCCTGGGGTTTAGGGTTTAGGGTTTAGGGCTTCGCGTTTAGGGTTAAGGGTTTGGGGTTTGTCAGGTTCTTGCCACGCTCTCCTTCCGTCGCTGTGCGCTGCGCCTGCCAGCCTCAAACCCTTTTTTAGGGTTTCTCTGCTGCTCTTTCTTTTATCTTCTTTGCTAATAATTATTAATTACTTTATTCCATTTTGTCTACATTTGCGAAAGTTGCCATTAGGGGGCCCCGAGGCCCCCGAGTTAGAGACCCACGCTTAGCGCTTAACAAGGGTTTAGGGTTTAGGGTTTAGGGTTTAGGGTTTAGGGTTTAGGGTTTAGGGTTTAAGGGCAACTGTTGTAGAAGTGCAGACAGCCCCATAACCAATTTACCGAGAAGCGGCAGGCCCCTCATCCTACGATTCTAATAGTCAGGTTTCAGTTTTTAACGCTAAGGGTTTAGGGTTTAGGATTTAGGGTTTAGGGTTTAGGGTTTAGGGTTTACATTTTAGGGTTTTGGGCTTGCGGCTGAGGTGTTAGAGTTGGCCTAGTGCGACAAGCAGTGCCTAGGAGGGGCAGGAGGAGTTCTTGGGGCTCAAACCTCAAACCCTAAACCCTAAACCCTAAACCCTAAACCCTAAACCCTAGGTGGCTTACTTACGTGTGCACACCGTATACAAAGATGAGAGTCTCTCTCAGCATCTAGAGATGCTCGAGAGACAAGCTGGCTAGCTAGCTAACTAGCTAGCTGGCCAGCTAGCTAGCTAGCTAGCTAGCTAGCTAGCTGGCAAGAGGCAGCAGCAGCAGCAGCTAGCTAGCTAAGTGGCTAGCACGAGGCCGCTGCAGCAGCTGCTGCTGCAGCCGCTGCAGCAGGCTAGCTGTTTACTTGTTTAGCTAGATAGCTACGCATAGCTAGCTAGCCACAGCTAGCTACCCGTAGCTAGCCAGTCACCCGTGGCTAGCTAGCTACATGCAGCTAGCTAGCTATAATTGAATGGCTAGCTGGCTGTAGCTGGCTATCCGTAGCTAGCTAGCCATCTGTAGATAGACAACTGTATGCTTCTAGCGGGCTCTCTGTAGCTAGCTAGCCGTAGCTAGGTAGCTAGCTATAGCTAGCCAGCTAGCCGTAGCTAGCTATCTGTAGCTAGCTGTAGCTAGCCAGCTAGCCGTAGCTAGGTAGCTAGCTGTAGCTAGCCAGCTAGCTAGCTAGCTAGCTAGCTGTAACTAGCTAGCTTCGGGGCGTCCATTCATCCAGGCTACGCAGCTTCGATGTGCGTCTGTTCCGGGCTAGACCTAAACCCTAAACCCTAAACCCTAAACCCTAAACCCTAAACCCTAAACCCCAAAACCTAAAGAGTATAAATAAACTGAGGAGCGAGAGAAGCAGAAATCCGCTTCTGAGGTGTACGTACACCCCAACCCTGAGAGAGTAACTGGCTAAAACAAAGCCACTGCAGCAGCAGCCACTGCTGCAGCAGCAGCAGCAGCAGCAACTGCTGCTGCTGCTGCCGCTCTTGCTGCTGCTCCTGCAGCTCGTGCTGCTGCTGCTGCTCTTCCTCCTGTCCTTGCTGCAGCAGTTGCGCCTGGTGCTGCAGCTGCTGCTGCTGCTGCTGCTGCTGCTCTTGCTGCAGCAGATGTGCCTGGTGCTGCAGCGGCAGTCGCTGCTGCTGCCAGGGGATGTTACAGCGGGTCACCTGCAGCTAGCCACGAAACCTAGCTAGCTGAAGAGCTAGCTAGCTAGCTAGCTGGCCAGCTAGCTAGCTACCTCTCCAGCTAGCTAGCTCTTCACCCTTAGCTAGCTAGCTATTTAGCTAGCTAGCTCCTTATCGAGCTTGCCCTTCGCCTAGCTAGCTCTTTAGCTAGCAAGCTAGCCATAGCTAGCTAGCTTTTTGGCTAGCTAGCTAGCCCTTTGGCCAGCAAGCTAGCCACAGCTAGCAACCCGCGTGGCTAGCTGGCTAGCCACAGCCAGCTAGCCATAGCTAGCGAGTCACAGTTAGCAGGCCATAGCTAGCTAGCCTTTTGGCTAGCTAGTTAGCCCTTCAGCTAGCTAGCTAGCCACGGCTAGCTAGCCGCAGCCACCTAGCCAGCTGGCCAGCTAGCTAGCCACAGCTAGCTAGCCACAGCTAGCTAGCCACAGCTAGCTAGCCACAGCTAGCTAGCCACAGCTAGCTAGCCACAGTTAGCTAGCTAGCCACAGCTAGCTAGCTAGCCAGAAAGGGGTGCGCGAGGGCCTCCTCGCAACTCATTCGCTGCTGCTGCGGGGCCAGCAGCCGCAGCACAAAGTCCCGGGCTGGGGGGCCCCCCGCCAGCTGGGGGGCCCCCCCAGCTGGGGGGCCCCCCTCGAAGTCAATCTCCAAGCGAATGATGCGCCTAAACAGCAAACAAACCCTAAACCCTAAACCCTAAACCCTAAACCCTAAACCCTAAACCCTAGAGCCCCCTGTCGGAACTCCTCGGCTGCAGTTCCCGCAGTGTCGACCCGGCTGCTGCTGCTGCTGCTGCTGCAAGCCTACTTTCCGCAACCCAAAACCCTAAACCCTAAACCCTAAACCCTAAACCCTAAACCCTAAACCCTAAACCCTTGCTTTTTGACTTCTTCGGCCGTGTTGCCAGTGAAGGGCAGTCTGCCGCTGGTGAGCAGCTCAAAGGAAAGAACTCCAAGGCTCCAGAGGTCAGCAGAATAGTCATAGGAGTCCCCCTGAACCACCTGCAGCAGCAGCAGCAGCAGCAGCAGCAGCAGCAGCAGCAGCAGCAGCAGCAGAGGAAGTCTTTTAGGGGCGTGCGCTGCCCGCAAAAGCCTGCAGCTGGTGCTGCAGCAGCAGAAACAGGGAATTCAAAT